ACAACTCATACAACAAGTACCAAGTGGTCAATGTATTCAACAACAACAACTCATACAACAATTACCAACTGGCCAATGTATTCAACGACCTCTTACTGTTGGCGGTGGTCGTGGTGATTTTCAAACTATTATACGATCACCACAATCTTTTGTTTCTCCATCCAATTCAATTAGTATGATTAATTCTTGTCCGTCTGGTGCACAATGGATTTCTTAAACATTATTTTAATTTTTTTTGCTTATTATTATGAACAAAACGAAAAAGAAAAAAAAGAACACTACAGAAAAAATAAATTTAAAATGGCATTTTAGGTAAATAAAATCGTGGAATGATTTCAGGATAAGCTTTATCATTGAATGTTGGTACTAGATGAAAAAAAATAATAAATTAAATTTATTATAAATAATTATTAAATTCATGAATATATAATTAACTTACTGGCACCTCTCGGTGGATTTTCTTTTGGTGTATAAGCATAACGACCAAGTCGATTTTGTTCAATATGTTTTAAATGTTGTATACTTTTTAATTTTGGATTTTTAAATTGATGTTGCATTTCAGTTTCAATTACATTATCAGGTATTCGTCGACGACCCGTTGCTAATATTAATATAATTTAGAAATAATTTTCTTATCTATAGACAATATTAATTAATAAATATTAAAACAAAAAAGAAAAAAAAAGAATTTTCACATGAGTATTACAAATTGTTTCTTCATTTGAATAGTTTAGATCAAGAAAAGAAAAAAATGAAGTTTACTTACTTAATAAATCAAGAAGTGCTAGTTCATCACGTAAAATACCTGTTGTCCAATTTTCTCTTACTGAAAAAAAGAAACAAAGTTATAATATGTTTAAACAAGAAAAAAAACTCTATGAATTAATTGTTATTCATACATGAACGATGGAGATGTGTAACGGTTCGTTTTTGATCATGATCTTTTGTGTTTGACTGATTAAGATCAGTCATATTTATTCTTAGTAATCGTGCTACAAACAACTATATCTGTAGTCTATCAAAATGAAGTTTCTTTTTTTGTTTCAATTTGGATGTATAGAAGCAAGAAACAAAAAAAAATAATAATTCCATTAAAATATCAAAGTCCTGCTTTTTTTTTCGTCCTCAATGAACCATTTGTTAGTTTTCTTTTGTTACCCTTGAATACATTTTTATTGCCAACCACAAAAAACGTTTTCGTGTTGATTGATGAAAAAGTATTTCTTATGTTTTTGTTCCACGTTTGACAGCTATTTAATAATAGAACTATATATTTCCATAAGTATCAGCAATTTTCTTAAGTCAATCGATTAAAAACTGATAGAAGATACTGTATTATTTCATTATCAGTCTTGATATTATTCTTTAAATTTATGATTGATAAATAATTTAATATAATAGATTAAATTCTTTTAAAGTCTTATTAATCCTCTTATACTTAATATAGACAAATTTCTTTTCAACTGAATTATTCTAATTCTTAGTTTGTCTGTTATGAGAAAAGTAACACTACTGTGTCTGGCTACTGTTAGCATGCGCTTTGACGGATTGCTAATATTTTTTTTTTCCTCTTAGTAGATTATCAACCTAAATGCATAGTTATGACATGACATCAAACAAATGGTAACAGAAAAAAAAGAAGCAAATAAATAAAAGTTGTCCTAAGAAAGAGAATGGAACGAAAGAAAGTATCGAATAGAAATGCATTCATGTTCGCATGTGTGTGTAACCATTTCTTATGGCAGCAGTATACTTCTATTCGTCTGTCTCTCTCTTTTCTAGTGAACATGTGTTGCAAGTAATCATCATGCGAATAGACTAGTCAGTGATGACGGCTGTTGTATATATTGGTGTTGGATGCTGAGAAAGTAGAAAAGAAAGAATAAAGAAAACAGTAGCCAGAATAGAAGCAGGCGGCAATAAGGATGTAACAGGAGAGACAAAAGAAATGGGTATGTGTTCTAACACAATCTGTTAAAACACACACCCGGTCGAACTTCCGTTCTATTCCTCTCAGTCATTGATCATCCTTCGCAAGTAAAAAAAGCACAAAAAAGGCATTGACAAATTTCAAAGAACGTAATATTAATGTCATAAATAGAGCTAATAACAAAAAAAAATGAATAAGTAAGCCATATAATCTAACTTAAATTAAAAAGGAAACAGAATAAGGAAAAAAAAGAAACAAAATCCCTTAATACTTCGATTTTTCTTTTTCGTTTTTACAGCTCATCAACGGTAAAATTAGAACCAATCGAACTTGATAACAATCGTATTGATGACAACACAACAAATCATACAGCAGCATCTATGCCACATTCAAATCGAATGAAACGATCTCGTAAAGCAGCTCATCCATCAAAAACTATCAAACCATCCATACAAACATCTTATATGAATCAATTAACAACAAATACATCACATATTCAAGTCGAAGAACCATCTACTTCTATAATGACTTCTACCGATGATGAATTATCTAATTTACCACAATTTGATAATATAGATGAACAAGAAAATAATGATGAAAGTTGTATTGATATGAATGAAGAATCATCTATTACACATCATCATCATCATCATATATCATCAAAACGACCACGTTTAAGTCGCAATAAACGTTTAGAAGCTAATGCACGTGAACGTGAACGTGTACATAATTTAACAGCAGCATTTGAAGCATTAAGACAAGTTATACCTATGTATGGTGATCAACCAAAATTAAGTCGTTTATCAATATTACGTATTGCTTGTTCATATGTACATGTTCTTGGTGCATTAAATCAAATTGATTTTAGTCAAGAACAAAATGCTTATACATTAAATGAATCTTTTCATATGCTTTCATGTACAATTTTAAATGAACTTAAACGAAAAAAAAATAACTGATAACAAAAACAAAAAGAATATAATTAATGTTGTTTTTATTATATTTGTTATTATCTATGTTGTAAAACAAAAACAATCAATTTTATTATAAGTATGAATAAAACAAAACCAAAGATGCTTGATAATTAATGGTTTATTTTCTTTATTGAAAAGTAATAGAACAAAAAAAAAAAATATTTTTAGAATTTATGAAATTTAATATTAGTTTTAAAATGATTTTAATCCTCATACATCAAAATAATCCTATAGAGAGAGAAATTATTGCATGCTAACGTTTATATATATAGTAGATAATATCAATTGCTTTTTAATCGAATCATTAATTGCTTAATAAAATCTTTTTAGATATCTATGATAATTAGAAAACTATAAGTATACAGAATGGTTACTTTTTTTTTAAGACTCTACTCTTCTTAATCTTTTCTGTACAACCAATCAAAACAAGTATTTATTATTAACTATAGTCTTTGTTTGAATTCCGCTATGATAAAAAGCTGATCTATGCAATCGTATTCACGGATGTTCCAAGTAGGAAAAAGTCACCCATTCCTCAATCTTGAGAAATTTTCGTTTTTTGCTTATCAATTCTAAAAACAACATTTGATCCCCATCCAAAAGTAGATCAATTTTAGAGAAAATCTTTCAATCGGCCTCCTGGATCATCGACCCTCTCCACAATTATTGACGACCTCGTACCACCCCTGATCGTATTCAACCACCTTAGTACATGTGAAAATATTTTAGATAATGAAGTCTGCAGAGGAAAAGCAAAGTGGTACAGAATATTTATGATTTCAAAAAAAAAATACCATGTTTGATAGTTTACTGAAAATATCACAGAACTTTGATGGCATCTTGTAAAATAAAAGAGTACTTTACTGTTTAGTATGAGATTGATTAAAATTAAGTTCATTTTCTTGTGTTTATTTTAATTTATTCTATTAATTTTCTTTTTTTTATAGTTGTTTAAATATGTAACGACTATAAATTTTTAAAAAGAAACAATAACAATTGCATAATAAATGTTATTTATTCTATTTAAATTATATCTTTACTGTAGGATTAATATTCGAAATAATGCTTCTATAATCCTCAGTATCAGAAATTTGTATGATTAATTATTTTTTGAATAGCATCACAATAATGTGCGTCATAGTTGATATAATCAAGAATAAAATGATGATAAAAAAAGTATTGTAATGAAATGACGATTGTGCAAAGACTGGAATCAAAATATGATGGATCAAGAGAAATAAGATATCTTCGTAGAAAAAAAAAAGAATTAAATTTCGGTCCTGAGAAACATAGAGTTGAATGGTTATTATGATTGATTGTGAAAACTTAGGAGTTTTTATGTTTTTTCTTATGGAGATAGCTTATTTAGAGAATTTTAAGCTCGGATTATTATGATAAAAGAACTATATTGTTGAAAAATTGAAGTAAAGTTTCGAAAACATAATAGATACGAGTTACAATCTTTCATTTTTAACACATGATGGCATACATTTCTATTATATTCTTATATAACTATTGCGAAATACGTCATAAATGTCTACGAATTTTTTTATATGTTACCATTAACTAACATCGATTGTTTCACGGCAGTTCAGTTTCAATCATTAGAACATGAATAAAAATCTTGATTGTAATGAATATTTTCGAAAAAGAAAATCATTTTTGCTTTGATCTACCAATGTGTTTTTTATATCGAAATATAAGATCCTTAAAACATAAACTAAAACTGAATTTATCATCCAATTTATGTGATCGACTGAAATAATCTCAATTATTTTTATTATTTTGCCAAAAATATTTTCGAGTGCTTATATGTTATATGATGTCAATATTCATTTTCATCACACTCATTTATCTGCATTTTTAAACACTGAACTTCATCAATCTTTTTCATCAAAACAATCAACTTATCTATTACATATCTTCTATCAATCGCGACACAAATGATCAACTAGGATCATGTTTAAAATAATTATAAAATATTAAATTAATGAACTTGTAACGATGACTGATGTTTAGTCACCTTTACGATTAAATTTGCTTTCGACACTAACAGAAAATAACATGTCAATGTCGAAATCGAGTTATGATCATTTACAGCTATAAAACAAATCATCTGTTAACAAAATATTGTTCTACATAAGACTAACGAAAGTCGACTATGAAAGTAATTATTGGCTGGTGCAATTCGTTTGATGAACCTATTCGAACCTCAGTTTTCATTTTGTATATTCAGAAAATTTAGAACGATAATAGAAGGTAGTGGGGAAAAGTTTAACAACAATGTATTTTTCTCTAATGTTAAGCATTTAGCTCATATAAAGATAGTAGTTTAAATATTCAAGAGAGTTTTCTATCTAATGTATTCTATACCAAGATTTCTAAAAAACTGTGAGAGGTTACCGCATTTTTTACGACCTTTCCTGAAAAAAATTAAAAGTATCATAAAAAAAACGAAATTTATCAAAAAATCGCTAAAAAATATCTTTTTCTTTCAATTTATGTGATACTTTTAAATTTTTAAGAGAAGATCGTAGAAAATATGGCGACTACTCATTTTGTTCTCTTTAAAATGAAATTATTAAAAAAACTAACTTTGACAAGATCTTTTGAAATCTGAAAATTATCGTATCCAATTTTTTTAGAAACCTTGCCATCATACTTCATCTGTAAAATTATGGTAAAAGAAAACTCCATTGACTAGTTTAACGGAATATGAAAGTTTTCGCTATATATGTACACGATAGTCTATGCAATTAAATCGTAATTTACGAGTGACAATCGTTTGATCACTATCGTAGAAAAGAAGAAATTAATGAGTTGGAACAATATTCTTCGATTGATCAGAGATATGATCATAACTTCAGTTTTTTTTCGCACTTTGACGCAAAAATGAAAAGTTTTGATATGTATCGTAATTACTTGACAAGCATGAGGTCATTAAATTGCTAACAATATTTATCATCCAAAATAGATTATGCACTAAGCATATAAAAAGATTTCTATGGTCTAATGGTTAAGTTATTCGATTCATTACCTTTTTTTTCCTTCCTCAAAATATTGTATTAAAACATTGGCGTCATCACTCGTTAAATAATTTTAACTAATTCATTTTCAACTATTATCTTATCTGACAACATAATGACTGTTTTCAAGTATACATCGATTATTGTGACTAGTTTCCCATTAGTCAACATGTACGGGAGAGCTCAAGGAATTGAGCAGAATAACTCTAAATTAGCTTAATCTTTTGTTCAGAGCTATAGTTAACATAACCTATAGAAAATATATTAAGCTAAGAAAAACCATTTCATGTCAATATCCTATACCATACGATCGTAGAAAGATATAGTATCCTTCTTATTTTATTGATGTTTTGTCGAAAAAAACAACATATCACTTGCTTAATAACATGTACAAATACTTGAAATATAATATGAATTAGGTAATCATGTGTATTATTGACTTTTAATGTTGTTTCAACATAGTTATTATTTTTCCTACTGAATCAAGTTTTTCGAATTAAAATGAAATCTATTTGTAAGTCTCACTTATTTTTTTCTGTGTGATTCATGTAAAATTTATTTATTAGATAAATATTTTCGCATCAACACAGATCTATCAAAAAACATTCAAATAAATTCATTTCTTTCAAAACATAAACCAAAATGCCATCTATATTTATCTACAGAAGATAATGTTACTGGATATGATCCAGATGATACAAAACAATTTAGATGATCATTTTAGTCAATATTTAATATACGAATAAGCAAGATATATCATACGTGGAATGAAATTAAAAGTCAAACTGAAATTTTGCATATAATACTAAGAAAAGACGCATGCATTATAGATGATCTGTAGCCTTTTTATTTACAACCATAAAGATGATAATATCATCTGTTCTTTATTGTGGCAAAACGCACCAAGATACGTGCCTTGAATGATTTAGTGGTCATAAAAATAGAAACAACTTTTGTACTTTACGGACATTTCGATGTAAGTTGTGATGAAAACAAGAGAAAAAGCTTTAATTAGGATTTTTGTGTTGGAATTAAATTCATAAATTCTTTTTTTTTTGTCATTATGAAAAATTGTTCGCATTATCATGACTTGTTCTATAAGATCAATAGTAATTTTCTATACCCATTGTTTTTTTTCCTATGACTGATTACGTGTGACATCTAGACAAGAAGACATACTATGGTACAATAAGCGACATTCTTATGTCTTGAACTTCTTGACTCGAACTCGAACTATACCCCTTCGAAATTAATGCGTTAAATCACGAGTTAATCATACCATAAACACGTACCTTTCAATAACAAAAACAAGAAAATCATCATTTATCTAATAAGATAAATATCGGTACGACTAAAGATCATTGACTATTGATCGCTATACAAAACCTTGTCGTTATTTTCTGTTGTTTTGTTTTTATTCAAAATGGAAATAAATTTGTATGATTTTTTTCTTTCTTCTATATTTCTTTTCTAGTCATTACAATATTATATATTTTTGTTTTCTTGTCAGTAAATCAATCAAATAATGAAATTCATTCTATTATGGTTAGCAACATTTACTGTTTTATTATTTGTCAATAAATTACATTTTATATAACATTTTGTTTTATATATCTATATAAATCTTGATTTTGTCTTTATGGATGATTTATAATTTATAACACAAAAACAAAAACAAAAATGATTCGTCGAATTGTCTGTGATGTTGAATTTTGTGTAATTGTTAAAGAAAAATTAAATCCTTGTGATAGTGTACTTGTAACTGGCTCATGTGAACAATTAGGTGAATGGTTACCAAATCGTTGTGTACCATTAAATCGTACAGATAAAAATGATGAAGGTGAAATTTGGTCAACTAATATTAAAATTTATGGAACACAAAAAATTTCTTATCGATATTTAATTGCGCAAATTGTACGAATTGATGATGATTTAAATTTAATTATTAAAAAATGTAAGTTAAATGAATAAAAAACCAAAAACTTTTTTTGTAAATTAGGTTTCTTTTTTTTTTGCTGTTTATCTATAGGGGAAACATTTAAAACAGCACGTCAAATATCATTGAATAATCATTGGATGAATGAATGTGATAATGGAGTATCATCCTTAACAAATACACCAGTTGATAATGAACAACCTGATGAATATCCAGCTATATTTGGTTGTTATAAAGGTGAATGTCGTACTGATATTGGTTGGTTAACTGGTCAAAGAGAAATTCAACTTCGTTTTCATTCAAATACTTTACAATTATGGTCATCGAAATTACGTAATAGTAAAATGTCATTAAAAGTTTCACCTATTGGTATGTTGTTGTTTTGCTTTTTTTTGTATGAAGTAAATTTTAATAGAAAAATGATTTTTAGATTTAAATTATCAACAAGAAAATGAAGAAATTTCATCAGATTTACCTGGTCAACTATATGCACCAACATCAAAAGTATTTATACAGTCAGCTATATTACGTTTATCTGGTTGTGAAGCTAATATTCAAAGTGATTATGGTGCTATTATTGAAAAAGATGATTATATGATTGTTAAAATTCAAACATTTGAACCAGAAAATGTTGCATATCATATTGATTTTTATCTTGTTGATGAATTAACAACATTAAGAAAACATATTGGTTTTGCATATGTTTTACCAGTACATTCAAATCTTGAATTAGCAGATAATAAACATCTTAATCGTATTGTACCTATTATTGGACTTAAACATAATCCGTTCGTATTATTATTAAAAGAAAACATACAACATTGAATTTTCTTTTGTTTTTAATTTTAGTATTGGTCAAATAAAAATTGATGTTTTATTAATAACACCATTAGAAGGTGTTCAACAAAAGTTTCTTGTTTCACCATCAAAATATTGGCGTCAAGGTCGACGACCAGTTAATGTTGGTCATCGAGGTTTAGGTAAAAAAAATATTATTTAAACTTTTCAGAATGAGATTATTCAATTGATTCTATTTTATATTCAAATTTTTTGTAATATATTTTCAATATATGATAGTCTCGAAAAACAATTTCCATTGCAAACTAAATATTCGTATCTGATACGAAATTGTTTTTTTTGTTTTGCTGGTGAATGACAAGCTGTCAGCCTAAGCGATTTCCCAGTAGAGGTTCGACCTATTCTTATATCTCATTAACTATCATATTTATCAAAAATCTATCTATCAAATTACTTACGAGCGAAATAGTAGAATATAATCAAGCAAACAACATTAATGAGCATGTAGAATTGTTAATGATCATGAATGCATAATATATTTCGCTATTAAAAAGAAGGCCTGTAGCAGAGATGAAAGCGATCTGAGTAGGCCAGATTCATCAATCTAAAATCCACATCGGTATGGATTCCATCTCTGGGTTGTAATACATATATGTATCACATTCATCCTGAAATGATTAAAACGATTGATTAATTAATAAATTTCGTTTTTTTCTATTAGGTAAAACAAATACTGAACATATTCCATGTAAAACTCAATCATCATCATCATCATCATCAAATGATTCAAATAAACAACGTATTATGGATAATACAGCACCGATACTTCCACCAACAACACGACCTGTTCAAACAAAATTTGTTAGTGAAAATACATTAGCTTCATTTAAAGGTGCTTTTCAACTTGGTTTTGATTTTGTTGAATTTGATGTACAATTAGCTAAAGATAAAATACCTGTTGTTTATCATGATTTTCAAGTTGCTATTACACTTAAACGTAAAGGACAAGAAGCTGAATTATTTGTTGTACCTGTTAAAGATTTAACATTACCACAATTACAATCATTAAAAATATATCATGCAAGTAAAACTGATGTATCAAAAGTTGATGAAGAATTTGATGATGATGATCAAACAACTATAAATAATAATACAAATTTAACAGGAATATCAAATTCATCAAATAATCTTGATAATCAACAAATAATTTCAACAAATCAATTAAAACAACAACAACAAGATGATAAAAAATTTCGTTCATTATTTCCAACATTACACGAACTTTTTGAAACACTTGATCCACATCTTGGATTTAATGTTGAAATAAAATATGCTATGGAATATCGACAAGGTGGAAGTGAACAAAATCATTATTTTGAACGTAATGAATACATTGATTGTATTCTTCGATGCCTTATTACTTATGGTAAATAGAAAATGAACAGAGAAGATTTCTTCTCTTCGTTTTATATACAATGTGAAGCATGGCATTTATATAGTTCTTCGCGAATTTTAATACTCTTTCAATGGCTTGATGAAAGTATCAAGATCGAAGCGATTTCATTTTTCTGTTTTTGATCTTTTTGAGAACATTCAATTTCATAATTCCCGATGACTGTCAAGAGTGAAAGGGTTCCTTCTCTATCGAAACCCATGTGCGAGACCAAGTTTTTTGATCCTAGTCATAGTTTCGACAAATCTGGTCTAAACTCAGTCCTGATAACTAGGATCTCTATTAAGAACAGTTAATCATAAATAATGAATCATATAGACGATGAAACGATAAATTGATAGCGTTGTTTAGAAATATGTTGATAGAATTCTCTTCCCAATAATTTGTAATATCTACTTTTCACGTCCTTGTATATTTAGAACAGTTGATGATTGATCGAAACATATGTTTTCAATTACAGTGACAAGAAAGAAATTTGTTTTTATAAACTATAAATATCTTCCCAGGGAAATACACGTTTCGTTATTAATTGTAGAAACGATTATTCGTTTTTTTATGAGATATTGATTTTTATCGAGAATTGACATTCAAAGTTTTACATGGCATTTTACAGTCGAATACCATCTTGTTATTTCTATTTTCTTTAGCTGGTAAACGTGTTATACTCTTATCAACATTTGATCCTGATTGTGCCTCAATGCTTCGTCGTAAACAAACATTATTTCCAGTATTATTTTTAACACAAGGTGAAAAAGGTGATTGGCCACAATTTTTAGATATTCGAACATGGTCAATTGATATTGGTCTATGTTTTATTGTTGCTGAACATTTATCAGGTTTAGCTGCACCAGCACTTGATATTCTTTCAAATAAAGATTTTGTTAAACATGTTAAAGATAATGGAAAATTATTATTTGTTTGGGGTGATGAAGCAAGTAAGATTGAATTTGAAAGAAAGAAACAACGCATCTATGTTTTATTATTTTGATTAAGGTGAAAAAGATGTATCAAAATGTTTATTAGAATTACGTGTTGATGGTTTAATATTTGATCATGTTGCTGAATTTAAAGAAGAACATTCAACAACAGAAAATCTCTTTATTTGTAAGTAATTTAATTTAAAAAGAAATTGAAAAATAAAGATTTTTTTTTTTTTGTTAAATAATTTTAGCGGAAGAACGTGAAGAATTAGAAGTCCTTAATAATTTTCGTCAAAAACAACTTGAATTGCAACATAATCAATTATTACAGGAACTTGAACGATTAAAAGCTGCACGAGAAGTAACAACTTTATTAGAATCAACAATAAATACATCATCAACAAATCAACTTTCTAAAGTCTCAACAAATTTAGGACAAGATCAATCATCTATAACAGATTCAAATTTTAAACATGTTATGTGACTAGATCATATTTGTCAATATCGAGAAATATTTTTCATCTGTATACTTTATGTTTTCTTAGTGATAATCTCTTTTTTTTTTTCTTTTTCTCATATATAAAGTTCTCACTTAATTCTATAATCTTATTCTCCTGAATTTTTTTTGTATTTTAAAAAGAAAAAACAAAGAACCAATCATTCTATTATTGTGATTTATTAATTATTATATATATATATAACTGAAATGTAAACAAATAATAGGCAATATGACATTTATTACAATAGAACAAATAATATGACTTTATTTTTAATTATAGATCATATTAATGATTATACGTATTATTAATAGTTTATTAGAAGTTTTAACTCGACCATATATTTATATACAAAAATATATTCTTGTTGCATTTCAATCACATTTACCAATACATTTTGATGAAAAATCATGGTATATTTTATTTGGTTTTATGACTTTTTTGGCATTTATTGTTGCTTATATACTTAGTCGATATATAACATTACAAGATGCCGATGATGATCCTGTTTATCAACGTGCACAATTTTTTTCCATGCAAAGAAAACATCGAAAAGTGACTTGAATCAGAATAGATGTATAAAATTTTGTTTTCTTTAGTCATTTAAAAAAAATAAACAACCTAGTCAATACTTATTAATAAAAAAAAGAAAACATTGTAAATTGTCAGGAATATTCATAATGACTACTACTTTTATTCACATGCATCAATGATATATTAGCTGACAGCAACGACGCATCCTTCGCATTATACTTTCATGTTATTTCTATTTTTTGCATTGATACAGAATCTATTCGTGTGTGCAACTGCGTGCTTAAGGAGCTTTTTTCCAGCTTGGGGAAATCTTCAAAAGGCGGCTGAAAAAAGTCTTTCTTGTAGAGCTCAGAATGAAATATTAGTATACAGCTTCTTGAATTTAAGTTTGATAGAAAGTAATAATATTGCTGCTTTTTATTGACTATGCTCGAATTAGGACTGTAATTAATGAATAATTAATAAAAATTAGTGTTTTCTTTCTAATGCGAGTTTGCGTTCGTTAGAGAGAAGGTCTTTTTCATTTCGTTTTCTTCGATGGTAAGATAAACCGAGGAAATTTTCCATTTTTGGTCGCAGATTCTGAATTTCTGATTATTTGTAATGTGTGTTATGTTCAACTGTGCAGAAAAGAGTTCTTTTTATGTATCAATAAATTATCATTGAAAGATCTTTATAAATTAAAGAAATTACTCTATATATTTGCAATGATAATTTTAATGAATTCCACTAGAAAGACTTAATCTATCAATAATAAATTTATTAAATATGAATAAATTGCGTGTTAAAGAATTATATTACTATACAACATGTTCGTCTTATGTAATCATTAAGTGATAATAAAATATCACATCTTATAATTGATTTTATTCAAATTGAATTTAATTTATTATCATCATTAGCATCGTAGATTAAACAAGTAAACTAACAATTTAGAAAAAAAATCATTTACAATCGTAGAAATAGAAAAACTGCCATATTCATTTCATCATTCAAGAAAAAAAACGTTGATATTTGATTTAAATAATGAATGATTGTATGCTTTGCTTTTAACGATTGTTACTATTTTGTTTGACATTTAAAAAAAAAGCGCATATATCAAATAAATGAATGCTGCAAACAGATACTCAGTCTCGTTTATATTGTGTTCATTATGTACCAGCAAATATTGATTGTTCAGATTGTCATTCAACCGAGAAAGACTACAAAAATCGACCACTCTATGCTCCTTTATATGTTCCTCTACCCAATTTACCTACTGTGCTTGATAATTCACAATTAAAATTACCTAATGCTTTCTATGTACCATTCAACGAAAATCCAAATAATCAAAAATCAAAAAACAATTCTTCAAATTATGTCCTATTAGATGATTGTGTCGAAATAAATACAAAGAATGGTATTGTTCGAGTACCTCGATCAACACTTGTTCAACGATCTTGTTTAAATGAATCTAATAAACATAATAATCAATTATCAACAAAAAAATCTATTTGTAATTTACAACAAATATTTCCTGGTGATTTTCAAAAACATGCACATCGTTTTACACGTAGTTTTAGTTGGAAAACTAAACCAGAAGAACCACCATTTACACAAATGCAACCATTACCAAAACTTATTAAACGACCAGGTTATGTAGAAATATGTTGTAAAAGTTAGTTTTTAAATATTAAATTATTAATGATTAAATAAAAATTGATTTTAAGATATTTGTTGGCCAACACATCAACTTTGTTTATGTTGTACACGAAATGTTGCTGAAAGTTGTCGTAAATGGTCTAAATCAACAGGAGAATATGATTATATTGATGCATGTTGGTCATCATGTGCATTATGTTCAGATGATGCATATAAAATACTCAATACACCTATTGTTTATAATGAGAAAATTATTGATCCAGAATTTTTATTACCACTTGATGCTGAATTACTCTATTATTCAATACAATCAGCAAAACGTCAACAAGTGAAACAACAAAATTTACCAACTGAATCCATATTTACTCAACAACAATCACAAATATCAGAAAATCAACAAGATAATATAATACCATTTGCTACTGACCAGAATGATTCAAAAGAGTTGCCATCACCAGCAGCAGCAGCACAGAATCAAGAAAGTACGATAAAATCTGAAATATTCAATATACCATTGCAAGAACAACAACAACCAATCACACCATTACCAATAATAACAACGACTGTAGATAAGTTAAAAGAGCCGCAAATAGTCAAGTCTTCAAAATCCGTTAGAGATAAAAAATCATTACAATTCACACGAAAGAAGAATCATAGAAAAAAACGAACTAAAAAACCTAGTCGATCACGAAGTTCTTCTAAAAAAAGATCAAAAAATCGTTCTAAAAGAAAATTGAAATCAAAAACATAACTAATATTCATTTAAAATTTTCAATAATTAAAGCCAGATACAACGTCTTGTCTTCTCAGACTAAACATTCAAATGAACCTGTTTCACATATCTGATTGATTCAATTGGAAAGTAACAGTTGTAAGAGCAATACTAATAAAAAAATCAATCATCTTGAAAAATACTCAAAACATAAATATTACAAGGATTTTGTTAATCAATTTTATAGTCGATTATCAATGCTAATATAATTATCTACTAGTGCCCTCTGGATGCAAAATTTAAACATCTAATTATAGAACTATACTTCAAAGATTTTCTCATTTACATATTAGTATGTGAGGATTTTATAAGAAAAATAAGTAAAAATTCAAAACATGATCAGAAGATATATACGTACGTAAAGTGACGTTATAATATGTCTACTTGTTCTGTTTTTAATAAACTGAGAATTTTATTTATTGTTGTTCATAATTTCTATGAATAAAACTGATGCAAAAATGACTATTGCTTTGTGCATCATTAAGTTCGCCAGGAAAAGATGAAAGACTATAATAATAATACATTAGACTGTGGGTTCTTCTAGCATATATTGCTTTTCCTTTCAAATTAAAATTCTTTTGTTGTTAAAGAAAATGTCAAAACATTAATGTATTTTGACCTTGCCAGTATTTTATTTCTTATATTTACTGGAACTATTCTTTTGCAAACTCAAAAGAAATTGATTCCATTTCAAATTACTCTTTGTACCAATCTACAAATAGATGACACAATTAAACTTCATTCATTTGAATGTATGCCTAATTTCAATATTGAATATAATGACGAATGCCTAGGGACAAGAACTGTGAAATAAAAATTCTTTGTCAATCCTCTTGCAATTTTATAATTGCCAAACTATAAAAAAACAACACATTATCCACGAGGTTTTCTTGTTTTCACATCTACATCAATGAAGAAATGTGTGTAGATGGAATATTTGGTTGTGTAAACTCTATGACAAAAAAAAAATACGTCACTCTAATTAATAACAATGATGAAGCTGTTAGAAAATTGACTGTCTATTTTCAAATTTCCGAAGAAATTATCATAGTTCTATTGATAGTTCCTCTCGACAACTTGCTATGTCTCTTTCTCTTATTTTTCTAGTTATTGTTATGAAGAATACTTGAGAAGATAGTTAAAAACAACCATTTTTAAGACTGCAATTAATAAATTATTTTTTTTCTAGTAATATATATTGTAATAAAAATAAACGTCTTGTTTCTTATAGGCATATGTTTAATCAATCGAGTGTCATCAAAACAATAGCTATAAACTATCTCTATAACAAATGTAATATAGGAGTTTATTTTGTAGATTCTATATTAAGATATGATATGAAACCGAATTAATGAGGTTGAAAAATGTTGTAAATCTTTTATCTATAAAGACATGTTGACAGATATATATACATGTTAAGTGTGATAAACCGATATTTTATTGACGTTCTTTTTTTTTTTAATTAAAATGTAAATAATTGATAACATTGTTTTCATCATACACAAGTAGATTTTTTTTTTATAGGTGAAAAAAAATAATTTACTAGAAAATAGTTGCATTCATCTGAGATTATCATAAACTAGAATAAAAAATCAAAGATTCTGTCAAAAATGAAATCATATTGAGAAAGCCTTCATTATATTCCCTAATGAATTACATTATTATTTTTTTTCTGATTGATTATTATAGTCATATTTACATAATTGTAAACAAAAAAAAGAAACTAAAAATTTTACAAAAGATAAATTGACTAATTCATTCTATAATATTTGACAAATTGTTGTTTTTTTTCGTTTTCTAAGAAAATAATTTACATTTATTTAATAATAACATTAAAAATTTAAACATTCAACTAATTTTCTTTTTTAATTAACATATACTTTACATTCTAATATATTTAATAATAATATATAGTTAACAATAAGCCAATAATCATAATTGATAATGATAACTTTAGATTTTGTGCTTTATTACAACCATCATATGCACAAAGTGACATAAAACCTTGTAAACGTATAGAGCCATTCCAATCTTGAAAACCTTTTAATCGAAAATTGCCTGATGTTTCTAATAATTTTGTTGATTCCATAATATTATCAACAACACATGTACGATAATAAATAACAGTATTTAAATAAGAAACATTGGCATCACCATCAATACTTAATATACGACCACTAATTTTTACACAAAATCGAGCCGGAAATGTTCCATTTTTGCCCATGGCCGTTGCCTGAATATATATATATATATACATTCAAGTTTCTTTTACTATTCAGTTTACAAGTCAATTAATTTTTTATTTATAAGTGTCCTATGCCCTCATCATTTATAACGAACTCCACTAGCGGTAATCGAATTATTCAATTTATGCTCGAAGAGGAAAACAGAGCAGACGGAAATTAATTACTTTTGACATAAATATCAACAAAATTTTTCTTTTTACATATGTGAAATTTTATGATTTAAAATACAAGAAAGAAAAAAACAAATCATCATTATATTTACCTGACAATTTATTTGAACTGGATTAATTAATGATGAAAATGGATCTCGACAACCATCATCATTAGGATTTGTTGTCATACACTTATAACATGCTAATCCTTGACTAGATATTGGTTCAATTAATACAAATATATATAATATGAATACACTAAATTGTTCCCAATATTGAATATTTGATAACATTCTATAATCGTCAAAATAAAATTTCTATATTGATATGCACAAAAAGAAAATCATTTTAATCGAAAGTTTTTTCAAAGCAATAAATAACAATATATACCTTCTTTTTTTTTTGGTACTACTTCTTGTTCGACTGCTTACTAAAATGTTATATATGCCACTCTAAGTGATGGTAATTTTTTTTTTTTGAAAAATAACAGCAGTTGCGTTTCCTTTTTCTCTTGCTCAACGAGTCATCATCATCAACAACATCTTTTTCTTTTCTTTCTCGTTTTACTATGTGTTTCTCAATACTGAAAAGTTCTTCTCCGTCGTTGCTCTATTTCTTCTTTCTCTGTAAGTCTGTGCTTGATGAAGACTTCGTCTTTTTTCTCTACTCTCAGTATCCTCTGCATCCCTCTCTCTTCTTAACTGCAGTCATGTAGAAAAATTGAGTCATTGATTAGACACTAGCTCTCTATGATGTAGAGAGAATAAGAGAAATACTTCTTATAGCTAACATTTTTTTTTCTCTAGTTTTCATAATGAAATGACGAGGCGTTGTTAACATGATTCTTTCGAGTCGCCATGACTGAGCTTTGTTTTTTGTCTTATTTCTTTTTTCCGGCCGTTTTTCTCTCTCCACTCTATTACACATTAGAGAATATGTTGTCGATGCAAATAAATTGAACAGAAAAGAGTTGAGGTAAAGAAAACAATTTAGCTATTCTACTACAAATGATTTTTTTTTATGGAACATTCATGCTATCTTTTTATGATTAGCATAGAATTAGTTGTTTCGCTTTTTCATTTTCAAGTGTCATCTTAGTGAATCTAAGATGCTTGGAAATGAGAATGTTTTAACGGAAAGAAAGGATGATCATGTACGAAAAAAAAAAAAAGTGTCTTAAAGCTCATTAGAAAGAAAGTATCAGGTGATTTTTGGACTTTTTTCTGGTAAGAAAACGATAATTCTCGCCTTCAGCCTCTAGATTTGTCACTCTAATACTATTCTTGTACTCTTGAGATTAATTTAAAAAGGTCACGTTCAATTAACCAGAAAAAAGAAATAAGATATGATAGAAGAATGTTTTTTAGCAATCAATCGATGATATATCTGTAGATTTTGAATAGCATATAAGAATAATTATTTTTTTTTTTTTGTGTTTGTCATTTTCCGATAGAATTTATTGTTCGAAGATTTACTGATCTCATTTTGAGAAAATATGTGGTCGACTGAGTCTAACCTAAAGAAAAAAAAAAGTAATTTCATGATCGATCTCAAAACTGACGGCTTCAGTTCCGGAGCTAGCAAACTGTTTCCGGTTCCTTTTTTTTTCCTATTCAATTCTTTTCATACAAACAAATGATTGACATGCATTTCTCTCGCATATAAATATTGACTATTATATATTAATTTTAAAATTAAACTTGTATATTATCAATATTTGAATTACACAAACAATTTCACTTATGTCTCATCTACGTCTATCAATAGCATCGATTCAATTATAATATTTTACAGTTTTTTTTGTCTTGGTCACGACTATTTTGTTTTAATTGAAAGAAAAAAAAAAGTAGATTAATTGGTAAAATATTTTTTCTTTCGTCATCTATCAATATATGTTCTTTATTATAAGTTATAATATCTTTGACATCTGTTGACACGTGTTCGTTCGATAAAATATGGTTAGATTAATGTCAATTTACGTGAAGTAAAAACCCGAATTAATCTTATTTGGTTTCTTATGAAAAATGATCTGATAATTAACCTTTCTTTTCTTTTTTCATAGAAAAGAAAAAGAAAGACAAAAATATATATATATATGTGTATGTGCTATAATATATTCCATATGTAATTTCTAGTACTAAAATGCAATTTCTCGTGATGCTCTTGACATTTCTCAATTGTGATAATCTATTCTTACACATACTAAACAACACAAAAACTATCTTTATTAGTGTATGTTGAATATTATTCTTTATAAAAAGAAAGTCGAATTTTAAAAGTTATATTAATTGAAAAATAACTCATATCGGGTGAAATATCATAAATGGCTGTATTTTGATATTTTTATCATCCGATATATTCTATTACAAATATATGTCACAAGATGCAGCATGAAAAGCTCTTCAATTTACAAACAAAAACTTACTGAATGTAAGGCATCTTTTGTTAAACGATCAATTCGTTTACTGATTGATGAAATAAGAAAAAGAAATTCCTTGTATACAAAACAACTTGTTCGCAACATCGAAAATTATTCAAACAGATTGTCGTCCATATATAAAATAAGTTTTTGTTTGAAAATCGCAAAACTTTTCATGCTACATGCAGTTATTCATTATGCACTCACTCGTTAGTCTATCAGATAAATGAACGTTAAATTTTACTCTAATAAATAAGTTGTTAATTATAGAAATCATTCATTTATTAATCATATGTAAATTTTAGTGCGAATAATGTTCTAACATATAAATGTACATGTATTAAAAAACACTTAATACAATATTAATGAATAAAATATTAAAAAAAAAAACAAGAAAAAAAAACCTATCACAGATTAGAATGACTTGAACATGGTGAAATTTGACGAAAAAGTAAAGCAATATCTAATGCTGTTTGATAAATATCTCGAGCACTTTGAAGATTTGTTAATATGGCAATACATATACCACAACGTGGATTCGAACAATTTTTAGAACATGGAATAATAAGAAGTATTGATGTAGCTCCAACAGCACCACCTGTATGATAAATATGAGATGGAATAGTAAATTCATTAATAGAAGATGATTGTTCTTTTGTAATCATCCATCCTAAACCATAGAATGTATTTTTCTTTTTTGTAGCTACAATTGGTGACCACATTTCTCGAATTGTTTCTGCTTTTAATAATTGTTTAGTTAATTGAGAATCAATTGATTTTGTTTGACGACATTGTAAAAGAGTATTAGCAAATATAAGAAGATCATTTATATTTGATAACATTCCACCACCGGCCCATTTATATGATAAATCAACATATGTAACATGACGTAAACCTTCTTTTAATGAACGACGACAATAATAACGACTTCGATTTGATACAATTTCATCTGGATATTCAAGTTTAGTATGATGTAAATCAAGTTGTTTAATAACAAGATCTTCAATAAGTTGAACAAATGTTCGTTTATCATTAGAAATACGTTCTAATATAGCACTTAATAATGTATAACCATGTGTTGTATAAAGCCATGATGTACCAGGTTGATGAAGTAGTTCGTCATTAAGAAAAATTGATAAAGATTCAGCTACTGTCGAATATGAACGAGTTATATAATATTCTGGAAGATTAAATTCATCATCAGTTTCTGGTTCGCCCTTTTTCCAATAGTGACGAACACCACTATAACAAAAAAAAGCAAAAAAAAAACAGATAGAAACAATATTTTTAAAAGATAACTTTTATGTTAGTTATGAGTGTAATTAATCCTGAACCAAAATTTAGAAAGAATAAATCATCTATCATTTACAATGATAGACAACAAATTATTTTTGTTTGTGAAGAAAATACCTTATTGATCATGTGAGAAATTTTTTATTTATTTGTTTCATGAAAAGAAGTTGAATCATAGATCGCTAAAATCGAATGAAAAATCTTAATAAATATAAAATAATTCTAGTATATTGAATAGTTATGTAAATCTATTGATATTTATTTTTATATCATTATAAGAAAAAAAACGAATTCAATCATTTACCTTGTATGTGAAGCTAATTGACGAATAGTAATTGAAACAGGTAGTTTTTCATATACAAATTTTGGTAAATCTGGATGATGTTTATCAATTGTATCATCCCAATTAAGTTTTCCTTTTTCGACAAATTGTGCTGCTAATGTCGTCGTAAATGCTTTACTAATACTTGCAATACGCATAACTGTATCAGGTGTACATGGAACTCGTTGTTCAATATCAGCTAGACCATAACCTTTTTTCCATACAAGTGAACCATGCATTGTTACACCTATACTTACACCTTTTTATGAAAATAAAACAAAAAATTAGATTTTTCCAGAATTAATCATTGATGATTTATTTATATACAAGACTGGACACAGTTTTTTGAACAATTGTTCAAAAGAACTGAAACCATGTAAACAGAAAGTGCAAAATACGAGTTATTTTTTGATAACTTAAACTTTTTAAATATAAAAAAAAAGTCTACGAAGTGGAACACTTATGTTTTGATAGACAACTGACAATGTGAATGTGAATTTTTTATCATTTTTATATAATGAAGGCCGTCATAGTTGAGTGGCAACGTTGTGACTGATATTTGGCTAGTTAGTGTGTATGGGGAGCTCAAGCAATTGGGTACAAGTATTCTGTCTAGAGCTACAGTTAGTCATAGTTGTAGAAAAGATATCGGATTACTCAATCTGTCACTAGGCAGCACTCCATATCGCAAGATAGCCGAAAGGGAGCGATGTTCTTTTTCCATTTTTATATAATGAGTAACTTTTCTTTTCAAATACCCTATTTGAAAAGAGTCTCTGTCGCTGAAAACTTTTCAGAAAAAAACCTCTCAAAATTGAAAAGGATTTTTTCGGAAACTTTAAATTATCTACTATCTTATGCAACGTCAGACGCTCTTTCGAATATGATATTTGGAAAGAAAAACCACTCATTATATAAAAATGACAAAGAACTTACACGAACATTGTCAGTTGTCTATCATAAAATAAGCATTTCATTTCATAGACATTTTGCTGTTAGAAACTTTTTAATTATCCAAATGTGGATCGTATTTTGCTCTTTCTATTTATATGGTTTCAGTTCTTCTGAACAACTATGAAAAAAAATAATAACTCAGTTTACAAGATCAACCATAAAATTTTGTTCAATTCTGTGAGCATAGTATAAATACTGACTGTAATCTTGATGCAAACCGTATCTCAAAGAGCAACTTTATGAAGAAGTTATACTTAAAACAAAATCGTCCAAAAAGTTGTGTCCAGTATTGTATATATATATATTACCTGGAATTCCTTGCTTTTCTTTAAATCCTTGACAAATAAGATCAGCTTGATTAACAGTTAATTTTAATTTTTCTTGATCAATATCACTATCATTATTTAATTTTGTCCATAAAAAACCAGTTGTTACACAAAGAATAAAAGGTTTACGCAAAGAATACAATCGAGTAAAAGCAACCATGTTAGATTTATCTATAATAATCACAAGAATAATGTTTTCTTTTTTTTTCATTTATTAAACAGATATTCTAAATTAAATCAAGACATATGCAGTAAAACCTCTCGAATCTGAATACCTTCAGGACTAGTAAAAAGCGTTCATAATAAGGAGGTGTTCATAAAGGAGAGATCTATTTCCAGCAAAAATCAATTTTTGGAACCGGCTAGAAGCGTTCATAATAGCGAGGTGTTCACATATAGAGGTTTTACTGTAGTATTTTTACAATACAATAAACAGAACATTGGCAAAAATTTATAAAATATTTTTGAATGTATCACTTGATTTTGCTATAAGTTTATTCGTCGTCGGATTATTATCAGCAATAAGACCTATTATATTTACTTTATAGGCAATAAGTCCATCAATTTGTCCTATAAGTAGAATACGTTCGTCTTTGTTTGATAGATTCTAAAGAATTTGTTTTTTTTTATGAAGAAATTTATAATATTTGAACAAAAAGAAAAATATTTTCTTACTATTTTAGTTAATTCATGTAAAATTTGTTCGAGTACTTAATTTTTTTAATTCAAATTCATGTATTGATTTTAAACGTTCAAGAAATTTATCAATCGTTATTTTACATAATTTTAAAGTATCTAATAAAGCTATTTGTTCATCAATACGTCATTGATATTCAGCTAAATAATATTCAAATGCTATTGATTTATTAGTTTAACGATGATGATGAAAATAATAAACGAATATTTAATTCCGATTGTAAATATATAGTATATTTAGCATTAAATGTATCTAATAATGTATTTGATTTTGTAGAGAATTGAATTATTTTGTCTGACGATGCCATGCTCATCTGGAATAACAATTGAGTTAAACCATCTGTTTATCGTATGTATGTCATTAGAAAAAAGTTGTTTCTTTCGTCCTATCAACAACGAATGTATTTCTTATTATCGACATCTATATAGAAAACCGAGCAATTTTCTTGTATAGTATCAAAGCGTTATTTTGGGTAAATTTTTGCTTGAAAAAAAAAAGATTATTCTTAAGAAAAAGCTAATTTTGATCGAATTCTGTCTAATAAAATTGTAAAATAATCATATTTAATCTAATAAGTTTTATTAGAAAATAATTCGATGCATTTTTAAGTTCACGTCATGAAAATTATATTTAAGCGTCTTGAAAATTGATGGAAAATTCGAGTTCAGTATTAATTATTTTTTTGTTTTTCATGTATTCAGAATGAAATCAACATATTTGATATGTCTGATTATTCCTTATCTTGTAAATTGATGTGTTTTAACTTTTTTTCTTGTGAATTCTTTTTTTTTCCTTATATTAAAATAACGATAAAGTTCGAAAGAGCAGTGAAAAACAAATTAAGATGAATGACTATATTTATATTAAATTAAAATTAATAATCAATTGGTTGATGTTGTTTTTTCTTTCTCATTATTATTAATATGTGTTCAATTCGAATAATGTTTATTCTCTCGAGAATAGAGATCAACATTTACACCTAATTGTTTTCATTTTGTTATCTCAGTTGTAACTAAAAATATAAGTTTATTTTTCTGTTAACATCTTAGCTGTTATTGATGAATATATTCGTCAACCAATCTTTATCGACTCTACCAGTTCTGGTGTTTCATATCGGTTATGTTTTTCTATATCAATTGTATCATTATTTATATTCAGTGCGAATTCGCTCTTTAAATATTATTATTGAATTGGTTATTACTACTCTATAAATCGCACAAGTCGTGAATTGAGATACGAATGTACAATTTGTACTGTTGCACTTTATGTTGATCCATGTTTTCGTATGTACCATGCCCTACTGCACTTTTGAATGAAACTTTGAATTTCGAAAACACTTGTAAGATTAAGTGTTTTTTTTTGAGCTTTGTTATCGAAAAAACAACTTCTGTTTTCTAAATAAAATCACAAAACATATTTGTCGCAGAAATTTTGTATTATCCTTAAATGTCTGTGAGTTGCTAAAAGTTATGTCGCAAAAAGTTTACTATTTAGTGTCAAAAAAAATTTTAACAGCTAAGGGGTTTAACACTGACGAATTGAGAACTATACTTCATCTGACGAGAATACTTTTCTTTGTTGGAATAGTACCAATTGTACACCTTCTTTATTTCAGTAGAACAATCAGAAAAACTATTCATTAGACGATCATAATATATTATTTGGAACCTGAAATGGCAATCGTACTTCACAGTCAAAGAGATTCTCTAATAAAGTGTTTAATGTAATAAATGCTACACTTAATTTTTCATTGAAAACTTCATTCGATTATATTGCATCAGTAAAAAACATATCTATTCAAATCGATGATACACTCACTAAACATCTACTCATTGCTGCTGATATGAAATCCGAATCGAATGATTTAGCATGAACATAATACTGTAACTGCAGTCTCTACGTTCGGATATGATTTATTGATGGAAATTATAGTCACAATTGTTTTTTCTCTCCAAGGTATTATAAAGATTCAGGCAAATATCAATATTTACGAGTTAGTCCAATATTGCGATTGTGGTTAGTTGAGCGACATAGTATTCTACAGAGTGTCCAGAAAGTCACAAAACTGACACCAAAAATTGAACATCTCCACCGCGCTGTAATCCAGTGAGCTGATTTTTTCTGAGACTAGAGGATAGTTTCAAGTTTTCATTCATTAATGAACAACGTATTCATTCATATGAAAATAGTACCACTGAACTCGTGCACTACATATCGTTAAATAACTAATATATCTCATATACAATGCAACAAAACTAGTTCGAAAGAAATTATCCTTCGGTGTCTAAACAATCACGAACACGTTGCTCAACAGAACGGCATGCTGTGCGACACATTTCGCTTGCCACCTGTTTACAGGCTTGTTCGATTCGGTCTAGAAGCTCAAAAATTGTAGCATATGGTTCCCTGAACACAGAATGTTTTTTTTTATTTGGAAGAAGCTTGTATGTTTGTTTTGGTCTTGAAAGAAACGAAAAAGATGTAGAATATAAGAAAGAATAAGCTAGTTATATATGAATAAAAACCCGAAACTGTTCTCTATTCTCAGAAAAAAATAACTTATTTGATTAGACTGCGGTAGAGATATTCGATTTTTAGTGTCTGTTTCATGACTTTCTGGACACTCTGTATATTAGCTAAGAAATCGAAGTCGATTGTATCGTCAAATCAATAAAAATCATGAATTGTGATAGAACAGTGAATACAAATTTTATTGAATTATTTTGAATTGAATCTATGCTTTTACTGGCAATTATATAAAGAAATTTTAAGTCTATGAAACTAGAAAAAATGCACAAGCAATCAATCACGTAAAATTAACTCTTGAACTGTCTTTGAAAACAAAAAAACCTGTGATATGATTTTCGTCTAATCAATAGGAAATAGACATATGCATGGCTAGCACTGTGAGCCCTCAAACAATGTTCAACAGCTTTTATGAGGCAGAAAGTAAATAAAATTAATTATATTCATGCGTAGTCATAACGAATTAAGTATCGTTTAAAATACACGACTGATGAATACATTTTAAATTTCAATTATCGACCTTCGATATAACGAACATTTCTGAAGATGACGGCAACATTCGATCGAATAACTGTTGCTGCTGAAACTCCTTTTGATTATCTCGAAAAAAGAAGAGTTTTTATTTCAAAGTCATCATTGTTTGGAATAAATTGAGAACAAACGAAGCTTCATATTGAAGTTTCGAGAGAAAAGTGATTATATAGAAACATTGGACTCTATCACAACGTTCCCATTTTTAGATCATTGCAACATGAAATAGCTACTCGAATTGCATGTCGAGAAAGTAAAAACAACTCCAGAATGATTATCATACTGTGCCTAGCATTTTAACTAGTTCTTTGGCTTTGGTCATTGTGTCATCGTCACATATGATAATCTCGTTCATGTAAAGCTATATGAAATAATCGTTGTATCTTCGAAGTTATTAAGCAAAAAATTCAATGACCCAATTAAAAAGTGACAAAAAAAAGATGTTGAGAATGGACATTTCATGAACAAAAATATGACATGACTGTTGTAATGGTGCCTATGTTATTGCGAACTGGATAATTATTGTTATAATTCAAACTTAATCAAGTATTAATTTGTTAGATAATGTATTTCGTTCTGTATTGATCCCTTATGTACTTTCTCGAACTCTCTTTTATGAGTTTTTCTCTTTACACTCTTCTACTGAAATCTTTTCCTTTTACACGTTCTTTTATGTATATGTCTCCGGAGCTTCAAACAATAAAGCAACGTATGTAAGTGATGAGATAATACTTGTTTCTGACTCACAACTAGCAAAATGGTCGACTACATTTACAAATTTAAATATCGATTTATTAATATCTAAGTGATTTTTTTTAGAATGATCTTATTCATTCAAAGACCCTCAGTTTATATGTCTTTATGCATGTGCCATAGTATCTAGTAGAGAATGATTGAATTAACATGAACGTAAGATAAAAATGTAGCGTTTATAATTAAACAGATTTGTATTCTCATGTAATTATATGAATTATTTGAAGATATTATTTTGGCTTATTTCAAATGCATGAGTAATATGAAGAAAAATTTTTAATAATCGTTCGTGAGATGTTTTCTCTTGTTTTTAGAATTGAAAATAAGAGTAATGATTTTATTTGTCTTTTATTATAGAACACTTGAGTGTTCTTCTGACTGTTGTGTATGTTATTCGATTTGAAAATTCTTCAACTTATGTTTGACTGATTTACTTTGAAGAATCTACATACATAATGTCGATCATCGTGCAATGATTTTTTTCCCGAAAATCTCACTTATAAGATCATACAAAATAACTACGAACACTTCCATAGATCAAATTGTTAATTTGTACGATGCGATATATTGATAGAAGCTGTCTCACTTGTTTGGTAATCTTTATTCTTTCCCTTTCATTACAAAAAAAAACGGTTATTCTGTTGTATTTGATCTAGCACAACTCAAGTTTTTCTTCAATAGCTACTTCCTACGAAGTTACAAAAAACTTCACTTACGCTGATGTATCAGCATCAGAACAATTCATCTAAAGTTAATCGACTATTTAACGATTTTTTTTCATAACTACTTTCACATTTCGAGCATTTGCCTATAAGTAAAGAATCTTATTTCCAAAACCAATTTCTATCAACGAAAAAAATTTTGTTAGTCGTTTCATATGTTGAGCAAATGCGGCATTTTACATAACATTGCTTACTATTATTACATCCGTACTATAAACGCAAATCATTGTTTAGTTCTTATATGTAAAATATGCGTTGTATTCATAATAACAAGAATAATACGAGCCAAAAAAAATAGATTAATAGCAAAAAAAAAGAAAACGAATATGTACCACTTAGAGAAAGAACAATACTAAGCGAAAGAGAACCCAACAAGAGATATATATATGTTTTTCGTTTCATTTCAATATCTGAAAGACACATCATCTCAATTGTTTTATACATTGAGATAGTTAATAGATGGGAAAAAAAATTAAAGAAATATTTCAAACGCATATGTGTCAGGCAAAATTAAACTAAGTTTGAAAGACTTGTTATTTTGACATAGTTTTTAAAAAAATTAAAGGAAACTTGTTTATTTTTGTAACTATCGAATTTGACAGAAAGTAGTGTGCGTAAGTTATATTCCATACAAATTAAATTAAGTCTAGGGAGATGTAGAGTTCGCGAGTAGTATTACATACAAATTGAATTAAGATCAGAAAGATGTAGAGTGTACGAGTTATATTCAATAAAAATTAAACTAAGCTTGGAAGATGTAGAGTTCGCGAGTTGTATTCAATGCAAATTGAACTAAACTTAGGAAGATGTAAAGTTCGCAAGCTGTATTAAATGCAAATTAATCTAAGTTTAGGAAGATATAGAACGTGCGAGTTATATTCAATGGAAATTGAACTAAGTTTGGGAAGATGTTGAGTTCGCTAATATATTCCACTGACATTGTGTTGATCGTAACCAGCCCGACCAAAAAAAAACAGGAAAAAAAAAGAAAGGATGTTCTTTATAATCAGGCATCAATTCTCATCGATACCTAACTGCTTCCCTTCGAATACAGTACGGTTCATAGATAATATACAAACAATATAGATGACGTTATTATGTTTAACC